GCAGGGTGGGCCTGATGGTGGCATTGTTGGACGTGATGGAAAAGTCAGTGGGGGGGGGGGGGGGGGGGGTGGTGCGCGCGGCTGGGGGGAAAAAAAACTAGGAGCTCGGTTTTGGAGAGGTTCAGTTTAAGGAAGTGGAGCGACATCCAATCTGATAGGTCGTTCAGTAGGCTTGTGATTCAGGCGGAGACTGAGGGGGTGAGGTGAGGGGGTCGAGAGATAGATTTGTGTGTCGTCTGCATAGATTGTGGTAGTTGAAGCCGTGAGAGTGTATCAGTTGGCCAAGGGACGAGTTGTAGATGGAGAAAAGAAGGGGCCAGAGGACAGAGCCTTGAGGGACCCCAACAGAGAAGGGGAGTGAGGGGGAGGTGGTAGCGTTATAGGTAACGCTGAAGGAGCGTTGTGATAGGTAGGACGAGAGCCAGAAGAGAGCGGAGTCTCTGAGGCCAAGGCAGTGTAGTTTTTTTGAGGAGGAGGGGGTGGTCGACTGTGTCAAAGGCAGCGGAGAGGTCGAGGAGTAGGAGCACTGAATAGTGGCCATTAGCTTTGGCGGTTAGCAGGTCGTTTGTAGAGTTTGAGTAAGGCAGTTTTGGTGGAGTGTAGGGGACGGAAGCCGGACTGTAGGGGGTCAAGGAGGTTGTCGTCGTTGAGATGGGAGCTTAGGCGATTGCAGGCTAAGCGCTCAAGGAGTTTGGATGTGAATGGCAGCAGGGAGATGGGTCTAAGGTTGTTTTTCTGGAAATATTTCATGCAATTAGCTTCAATTTATTAAGCAAAGTATCAATTTTGTGCAAAATACCGTAAATTCTGTAAATATGGGAACCAAAAACTGTATAAAAAAAAAAAAAAAAAAAAAAAAAAAAAAAAAAAACACCACACACACACTATTCGGCCTCATGCACACAAGGTGTCTTTTCAGCCACTTCTAGGGGAGTCAGGTGTTTTTTTCTACAGCTTCCAAAAGCTCTTACATGTTATCCTATGTGCCCATGCACACAGACTTTTAGAAGCTTTTAGTATCCGAGGCTTCTAGGAGCTGTAAAAAAAAAAAAAAAAAAAAAACCCACTGCCAGTGCGTCCAGGAGCAGCAGCGTTTTGGCACAAAAAGCACGTTTAGTGCTTGAGCATTAATTAATTTCAATGGCCAGAAATAATTATTATTATGGCCATTGAAATGAATTAATACCCAATCGATTGATGCCTATCAACGCGCCTAAACGCTTGTATAAGGGTTAGACACTTTTACAAGTATCAGGCATTTTTTTTTCTGCCAAAACGCTGCTTGCAAGAGAATCAGCGGTTTTAAAACATCCCGTGTGTATGATTCATTTCATGGTATAGGCAGTTGATTTTTCAGAGTGTACAAGGGGAACGCTGCACTGCCCAGTAAGTTAAAAAAAAAAACAATGTATCTGTGTGAAAATATTGTACTTTTAGCTCAGAAATGTAAATAATTTGTATCATTGCACTAGAGGGAGATGGTTCTGTAAATGAAGACAAACTAGAATGTTTTCATAGTTTCCCAGTATTTGTGTTATTTCATGAACAATCATCTGGTGCAGTGAAAAAAAAAAAAACAAAACAAAAAACAAACACCACACAACAACTGCGATACAGCAACATAAAAAAATAACACTGAGGCCTCATGCACGCTGGACATTTTTACAACTGCTCCTAGGGGCGTCTGGTGTTTTTTTTTCTGCCTCATACTCCCCTGCATATTATCCTATGCAGGGGCGACTGACCATTTGGAAACTCGGGCACTGCCCGAGGGCCCGGGGTCAGTAGGGGGCCCCATGAGATGCCCCTGGTACCTTTTTCATAGGCTTTTTTGAGTTTGAGCAAGGACACAGGGGCCCCATGATCCCCTATTGCCCGGGGGGGGGGCCCCATGAGATGCCCCGGTACCTTTTTCATAAGCTTTTTTGAGTTTGGGCAAGGACACAGGGGTCCCATGATCCCCTATTGCCCAGGGGACCCATGAGTTGTCAGTCAGCCCCTGATCCCATGTCTCCATTCAGACAGACTTAGCAGCAGAAGAGTTGAGGCAGGGAAAAAAAAAACCCTCTGCCAGTGCGTCCAGGAACAGCAGCATTTGGGCCGAAAAAACTCTGGACGCTCGTGAACTCACTTAAACACGTTTAGTACTTGAGCGTTCATTTCAATCGAAAGAAGAAATTATTATAATTTTGACCAATGAAATGAACACCCAAGCGCTCGCTTGACACCTGTAAAACACATCTAGATGCTTGTAAAAGGGTTAGACACTTCTACAAGCGTCAGGCGTTTTTTTCGGAAAAAACACTGCTGGCTTCTAGGAGCAAATATATAAAAAAAAAAAAAAAAAAAAAAAAAAGAAAATTCTGTGTAAATACCATACAACATAAATATTAAACTAGTTAAACAAGGTAGGTTCTTTAGTGAACTACTTTTGAGATAATTACTGCAGGAGGCAAAAATTCACACTGTATTTGACTCTACACGTCATTACAAGTAACTAAAGTGCTTGGTAAATAAATAATGGGACTAAACTTCAACTTTATTGCCCTATCACATGAGCAACCCTCTGAAAAACAAATTCATGGTGGATCATTATTCCTTTGTTCTATTTGGAGATCTCTTCTTTCCTTAATAAAAGTCTCAATGTGTAAATCATCCATACACTTTGGTATATAGACATCAGATACCACTTATCATGAACTTGGTAGGACTAGGTATCAAAAGCGGTCAACTGAGCTACTGATAGCAACTACCAAAATGTAGCGATTATTGCAGTTTTAATGATTTTGTAAATCTTATAGAACCGTGGCAGGAATGAGGGTAAGATCATAAGGGGAGCCTAAGAACAAAGGTTGGCCACACTGTCAAAGGTGTAGGAGAATTAATATCCTTTATTGGAATCTTCACAATCTAATAAGATCATAACAGCTCCAAGATTGGACAGAGAAACAGTAAACGTGTTTCAAGATTAGAAGGGGATAGGGGGAAATCCCTGGAGAGTGGCTATGTGTACAGAGGGAAGTACAGATTATAGGAACCCTACCAACCAATGTTCAGAGATTTTGGAGAGACCCAACACCTGGGGGGATCTATCCATGGATGGCAGAACTTTGTATATTTGGGTGTTCTCACATGGTTGCCTCTATTTTCTCATGAACGGTAGGTTACGTTTCAAAGGGCATGACAGCATCCAAGCATTGAGACACATAAATGCAAACCAAGCGGCTGGCTTGCCATTACTGAGAAGTCCCATCAACATCAATGGGTGAGTTTGATAGGCGGTGCCATCTGTCACACTTTGCTGCGACTGTGAAGCAATGCATCGTGATTGCATGTGTACTATACTGTTCAGCTGCATGATTAGCATTCAAGCAGGTGGCTGAGGGCAGTAAAAACACAGATCAAGCACCTGTTTTTACTCTTCCTTTGTCACCTGTGTACAATGGCCAAGGTGACACATAATACAGACTGATTGCATCTAGTACAGCTTCACTAAGGCCATGCTCACAGGACGCAGCACTAGCAGGACACCCCCTGTCTCATTAGCACCCCCACAGTATGATGACTAGGAGAGCAGCCTGAGCATGGCCTCCCTGACACTGATCTGCTGGCAGATGACACAGCTCTTCAGTCCTCCAGTTGCGGCATGCATGGCCCTCTGCCTACTTGTTTATGTTGTGTCAGCAGAGTGATGCTGCCCCTGGAGCCCCTCCCCCTCTTCCCGCAGGCCTCAGCAGGGCCCCACACCCGTCCCCGTCCACACACACTCAGCGAAGCCGCCAGCCAGCTTCCCCCCCCCTGTGCTGTCCTGTCCGGCCTCCTACCCTCAGCTATCCTGTACCTGCCGCTCGGTATTCCGCTATAGACCGGAGCCTCCAGCACCTCCGAGTCCAGCAGCTCCGTCACTTGCGCTGCACGTCACCGAACAGCCTGCGTCATCCCCCGCCACCAATCAACTCACCGAGCATGTCCGGAAATAGCCAATAGGTGAGTGGCAGGAGGCGGGGGGCGGGCCCGTGTGCAGGTGAGGATTGGATACGGGCCAATGGGAGGCGCTGACCTGTGTGCTGGTGTCAGGTGCCGGTCACCTGCTCGTCTCCAGGCAAACATAGAAGTTGCCCTGGTGGTTGTAGTCGGGCACATTGATACATGCAGCGAGGGGTTACTGCGACTATTCCACAGGCAGGAAACGTCTACTTCCCTTGGCGCTGATAGGCTAGCACTGCCCGACAAGAAAGGCGTTCCACGAATGAGCGTTGTGTTGTATTAAAGTGCTTCTACACTCAAAAGGGGTGAGGTAATACACCTTCCAATACCTGCCACTCCCCCAAATACAACCCCAATTCGAACAAAATCTACGGAAACCCTTAATGCGATGTTCTGCAAATCTCAGAAACCCACACTGTATTCACGTTAGGAACTAGTAAACATATCAAATGGTTCAAATGGGTGTAAAGGCTCAGGGGTGTTTATAGAATGCATGAAGGTAACAAACCTTGGTGCAGTCCCCCCCCCCCAATACTCACCTAAGCCCCCTTCCAGCCAGCGATGTGCACTGGAGTCGCGCCTATATCCCAGGACTTCCTCTTCTCATTGGCTGAGACAGCAGTGGGAGCCATTGGCTCCAGATGCTGTCAATCACAGCCAGGGAGCCAATGAGAAGAGAAGGGGCAAGGCCAAGCCACGGCTTTGTATGTGAATGGACACAAGGAGCAGCGGCTGGGGAGTGTGCATGCGTGGGTACCCCCATAGTACGCGCCTTGCTGTGGGGGTCCCCAAGCAGGAGGAGAGGGGGACAGGAGCACAGGCAGGGGACCCGAGAAGAGGAGGACCCGAGCTGCTCTGTGCAAAGCCACTGCACACAGCAGGTAAGTATAGAGATGTTTGTATTTTTTTTTTAATGTAAACCTTTAGAATCACTTTAAAGTGTTACTAAACCCACAACAGTAAAATCAGTCTGTATTTGCAGTAAAACATGCTTGTTATACTCATTGTGGAACCTAAGGGGTTAATCCTCTGCATTGTGTAAAAAGGATGTTTGATCCTGACTTCTCTGATCCTCCTCTTTTTCTACTGTCACCAATCCATCTGCTGATATTACAGAGCTCTGGAGTCACTCTGCACATGTTCAGTTTAGTGTGTATTGTTGGAGAAGCTTTTTTGTTTGGAAGGGTACATGTGATCAGCAAAGGACCAATCAACACTGTCCAGACTAAGGGTCAGGGGTTATGCAGCCTCATAGGTCAGTTAGAGCAGAATCAAAAAAAATTAACCAGTGCTCAGCTGGACACTGATAGAAGTCACAATACTGCTCTAACTGCTGATGAGAAAAGGTATTTAGCAGTTTATATTTACTAAAATAATTGCATTTGCATGTTGTGTGTACTGTGGGAGACCAGATGTACTGGATGCAGGGTCCTGGGTTTAGTAACACTTTAACCACTTCCCTACCGGGCACTTATACCCCCAAGGCCAATTTTCAGCTTTCAGCTCTGTCGCATTTTGAATGACAATTGCGCGGTCATGCAACACTGTACCCATATGACATTGTTATCTATTAACACAAATAGAGCTTTCTTTTGGTGGTATTTAATCGCTGCTGAGTGTTTTATGTTTTGTGCTATAAACAAAAAAAGAGCAAAAAATTAAAAAAAAAAAGTTTTTCTTTGTATCTATTAAAACATTTTGCAAACAGGTAATTTTTCTCCTTCAATGATGTGCGTTGATGAGGCTGCACTGATAGGGAGCACTGATGGGCACTGATAGGCAGCACTGGTGAGCACTGCTAGGCAACACTGATGGGCACAGATAGGCAGCACTGATGGACACTAATGAGATGGCATGGATAGGAAGCACTGATGGGCACTGATATGAAGCACTGATGAGCTGGCACTGATGATGCTGCACTGATAGGCGGCACTGATGAGCTGGCACTGATAGGTGGCACTGGGGGCACGCAGGGGGGCATGTCCTGAAATGTTGTCCATGGACGTCGTCCCAGGATTACACAACCACGCTGTAGCCGTCCTTTGGCAAGGTTGGGAACCGGTTAAAATGAGAAATGTACCATTTTAAAGCAGTAGTAAACTTGAAGAAAAAAAAATGCAGGCCCCCAGGTGGTTTCAGCCATAATGTGCATACATTGCATACTAGCATATTATGAAATACTTACCTTAAAATGTAGCCCTTCAGTGGTGTGGTGTCACCGCTGACAGGCTTCCATCCTTCACCTGGTTCTCCGTCTGAGTTCATGACCTCCAGACATTTGAATGGCCAAGCCCAGATGGCATCACTGTCACACATGCGCACTGAGTTACAGCCACAGCACAGCACCGGAATTGATGGCATACTCAGTGAATATCTCCTAAACACCCTGCAAGTGGGCTGCCCAGCCCACATGGAGGTGGGCACATGTTCCCTATACATGCCCTTATCCCTTAAAGTGGAACTTTGCCCATAGAAACTTGATAAAAAATAATGTTCTTTAGCAAGGAACATACATTCCACGTTATTATTATTATGCCACCAAAATTAGTGTTTGCTGTCAATTGCCCCCAGCATTGCTCCTGTTTCTTCTTGCTGAAGGCTGCCATTTTGCTGAAGCCCAGAGGCTCTGAACAGCAGTAATTCAAAAAGCGGAAATAAACCCATTGATTTAACAGTTTCAAAAAAACAGTTACATTCCTGGAATGCCGGATGCCAACTGTCACATTTGCTTGTGTCCTCCACCAAACTATCTAACCATCAATTGGTTGGTGTCATAACTGATCACATGTGCAGCACCATGGCAGTTACAGATTAACTGCCTCCTGCCTGCTATATAAGGTAATGATGGGCGCAAGGCAGTTCTCTCCCTCCGGTAGGACGTCATATGACGTCCTCCTACTCTAACCGGGCATGCGCGGCTCTGGGAGTGCGCAGCACGGTGATCGGTGGTGCACTGTGTCCCTTGGACACAGCAGATCACTGATCGATGGAAAGAGCCGAAGATGTTGGCTCAGTCATGTGATCAGCTGTGTTCAATCACAGCTGATCGCATGTAAATAGGGAAATGCCAGTTATCGGCATTTCTCTCCTCACGAGCTGTCACGCTGACAGCTCGAAAGGAGAGGAGAGCCGGTATCCGGCATTCCTCGGAGGGGGACATGTACACTGATCATCAGGACACTGATGATCAGTGTGGCCCCAGAAGTGCCAGCTGTCAGTGCCCATCAATGCCAGCTGTCAGTGCCCATCAAATGCTACCTGCCAGTGCCCATTAGTGCCACATCAATACCACATATCAGTGCCTACCAGTGCACACCTATGCCACATATCAGTGCCCATCTGAGCTGCCTTTCAGTGTCACCTATCAGTGCCAGTCAGTGCCACCTATCAATGCCAGTCAGTGCTGCCAATCAGTGCCACCTATCAGTGCTAGTCAGTAAATGAAGTAATGAGATCCTCTTTCATAAGCAATGTATTCAGTGCTCAAAAACACCCCATCAAAATGCACACTCACCATGTGCTAGTAATTAACCAGCATGTCAGTATATATCCAGCATTCACCAAACAGACTTCAAAGGACGATCCTCATGTGTTGGTAATTACTCAGCATACTACTATGTATCCAGCATATCACCAAACAAACTCCAGAGAAGATCCTCTCATATCCAGATTAGCACATGTGGGTAAAGAAAAAACTCGCCATAGTGCAGTATCATCAAACAAATTTATTGCCAAACAAACCCCCTTAAAATCACACTCACAATAAGCAAATAAAAACAAGGCGTTTTGTTATATCAGAGCTCCAGTCTCTGCATCCTGTGTTCTCACCAGCCAGCCGCATTCAAGATGGTAATAGCGCGATCACGTGATCCGGACACGTGCATCAGCATGAGTAGTGATGTCACAGGAAGGCCACATCTGACGCGTTTCGTCCAATGACTTCTTCTGAGGGATTCCCTCACGGAAGAAGTGATTGGGAATAAATTCATTAAAAAAGGTTACTCAAGACAGGAAATAGCAAAAAGAATAACTGAAGTTGGTAAGATGGAGAGGAAGTCATTAGTATTAGATAAGAAGAATAATGATGAATTTGATAGTCAGATGGCCGTAGTTTTGGATTTTAATGTCCACTATAAGAAAGTCGAAAAAATTTATTAAACATTGGCCAATCTTGAAATCAGATCCTGTGTTGAATTCAGTGTTAGGTGACTATCCAAGGTTTGTGTATAGAAAAAGCACCATCGTTATGGATGAAGTTGGTAAAGAATGTGCTTGATCCACCTAATACGAAGAAAAAAATTACGTTTCTTGACCAAACAGGTTTTTTCCCATGCAAGCAGTGTTACGCATGTAGAGACTAAAGGAAAAATGTTTAAACGTAAAACATTTAAATGCAATTATGATGGTACTGAGTTCAAAATTAGAGATTTTTCTGTGTGTGTGTCGTACAGAAGGGGTTGTTTATTGTTTGGAATGCGATTGTGGTTTCCAATACATAGGAAGGACTAAAAGACCTCTTTGGAAACGTATAAGGGAACACGTTCAAAATATAATAAAAGGATTCCCGAAACATAGGGAGTGTTTTTCCAAACATTTTCTTAAAAAAGCATAATAAAGACTTCCTAGGTTTGAAATTCTGGGGCATCCAAAATTATACGAACCATTGGAGAGGAAGTAGCAGGATTAAATCTCTGAGTCAGGCAGAATCCAGATGGCGATTTATATCATGCTTACTGTCAAGGTCCTCACCTTTTCCCAGAGGTTATGTTACTCCATGTGCTAGGCTTTCATCTTGGATTTCTGTGGATGTCTGCTGACATGGTGGGAATCACTATATGCCTTCAAGGTCTATGAGGTCCATCCCCCAGACGGGGTGTGGCTTGATGACATATAAGCCTGTGGTCGCACATGCTCCTTTGCACTTGTGTCTTGTGTCGCTATTACTCTGTTTCTGACTCTCGTGTATCTCTCCTGGAATCCCTGACTCGGCTTGTGACTCGACTATTCTTTGTGTTCTCCTTTGATCTGACCCTATGTTGCTGAACCCAGCTCGTGACCTGTGATTCTCGTCTGTCTGTCTGTACCGTTTTGGTTCCCGTTGTTGTCGACCCTACCGGAATGCCTGACTACTCTATTGTCTTTTCCACCAGTACACGCCAATTCGGCGGCGGCCATACCCGCAAATGAGTGTCGTTGGGGGTCCGCGACCTGGTTCCTGGCTGCGTCCAAAGTTCCATCCCCACACATCAGGGGCCCTGGTGAAAGGGCAGCCTTGGGAACTTTGACTCTGCGCCCTGAGGGACTTCAGTCTGTGGGTGGTGGTTGTCATCAGCCAGTGCGTTACATTGTTTAGGTCCTGCCTTGTCCGTTCCTCTGCTCCTGTCCTTTTTGCCCCTTTTTCCCCCGGTGCCTTTTTTTCCCCCCAAACCCTTGGCGGGTCCCAAAAGGTGCCCCCCCGGCTTCGAATTCCCCAACCTGGGGTTCGCCGGGGATTTGACCCCCCAACCGGGGGGGTTTTTCACCCGGGGTTTTGGGGCCCCCCCCAGTTTCCCGCTTAAAAAGGCCGGGTTTCCCCCAAACTCCCCTGCCTTGGGGCACGCCACTTTAAAACACCTTCCCCTCCCCTTCTTGGTGCTATTGGGCCGGTAGTCACCCCGGGTTGGTTTTTCACGCTGCTTCCCCGCTTGTTGCGTCCACCACCTGGGGTTTCTGCATGGCGGGGGCCCAAAAGGTTTATGACGGGTTCTTCCCCCCTCTTCCACAGCCCCTTTGGGGGTGACCCGGTCATTGTCGGGGGTTCCTAAAACCAGATGGGTATTTATTTTAAACAAATTTCCCCCATGCCTTTTGTTTTGAGAGGTAAAAAGGGGGGGTTTTTCCTAATTTCACTACCTCAGAAAAGGGCCTTTGGGCCTGGGCAAACCCCTTTAAAGGGGAGAAAAGGGACCCGGTTGTTTTTCGGTTTTTCCCCCGGGTTTTTTTGGGAACCCTTTGGGGGAATTTTTGGGGTTTCCCGACGGTCCCCCCCTGCCCCCCTCCCCCCAAAACTTCCCTTCCATAAGACTTCCGGGTTTTCAGGGAAACCTTTCCCGAGTACGCCTTTAGAGTTTCGACCCCTGGGGGCAGAGGTGGGTTTGGGAAAAAAGAGGCTTGGTGGCTGCTTTTTCCCCGGGGGTTTTTTCTGATTTCAATGAAGGCCAAATTTTGCAGAAAGGAACTGCCTGTGGAATTTGGGGAGGGCTCTTTCCTCTTTCCTGATTTTTGATTGACCCCAAAGTTTTCGGGGAAGGCCTTACTAAAGGGGAAACGCCTGCGGGGGCCTTTTTCCAATCGATGGAAACCTGCTTTTTTCTGTCCCCCCCGTTCCCCCCCTCCCTCCCAGGGCCCCTC